CTAGTTTCGACGGATTTCGGGTAACAGATAACATTGTATATTATACATATTATACTGATACAGTGATACATCATACATACACATTATACTGATACACAATAATAATATATTATGGTGTATCAGCTGACAGATATCAGTATATCATAGAATATTATGATGTTATGACTTATGATTACACTTACATAGACTTGCGTGGAACATATTAACGAATGTTCAATATCTGGGCTATTTAATTATATTTTTAGTAGCTTGCTGTATTACTGTAGGTATAGTCGATTATGGTGTAGGTACGTCGATTATAGTGTTACTATCGTGTAGAAATTGTGTTCTATAATAACTATAATGTTATTGTATTTCTATCAAATTAAAATTTTAAGCATATTTGAAAAAGCAAAGAGTACTTTAGAAAGTTCCCATGAATAACGTTTAATAATTATAGCGAAATTACAAATATTTTGTTAGCGACTTAGCGTATAAGCCAAAATTATAATCTAGATTATCACGTTGGCGATATTGCTTAACTACTAAAAAATATCGACTTATTTACAAAAAAGTATTTTTTTAAATTTTTATCCTGGCTCGTATATATATATTTACATAATATACATATAAGGAATAAGATTATACATTGTTGATTACCGTTATTTTATGAAATACAAGTTAGGTTATAAATTAACGTACTTGTAGCTTGCAGTAGGTAAAGTGCAAAATAAATATTTTATTAGGTAGTTATTTATGTATAAAAAATTAACATTAATACCATTCTGTATACGTTGTAAAGTTAAATCAATTGTAAAAAATAATTTTGTCGATTTGCTATACTTATATAACTTAAATATATCAGTCATTAGATAAGATTGACGTCGTAGTCGTCACTCGTCCAACAAGTGTAATTTCTAGTATATGTTGTCACCTACTCTAATGAGAACCAAAATTAAATTATAATAATATTGTATAAATAAATGGTCTGCATCATTGAGTTAAAGTATAATAATCAGCATTTTCACATTTTTTTACAGTTAAGTATAAACTGGTTACACTTACGTAGTTACATTGTCTTTAGATATTAAACACAAATCGGACTTTTGAGTGGCTGTTTTCGAATCGACGTTAGTTATATTCTCAGTTGTAACTGTGAATTGTAATCATTTTATATAAAATGAATCAAACCATCATTCAGATAAAATTTTGCCGGACATAGAGCATGGTGTATTGTCATTATAAAATATAGTGTTTGAAGTATGAGAAATATTTCATGAAATATTAGGTATACATACAGGTACCATATAGTGATGAAGGTAATTTATGACAGTTATATGTAAATATAAAAATTATTTAAAAATAAAACAAAATATATTAAAATACTGAAATATTTCACATATTTTGAAATATTTCACGAAATATTTCATTTTTTAAATTTCATGAAATTTTCAAACACTAATAAAATATGATAATCATTAAAATCGGATCATGGATATTCGTTGAAATTATAGTTTAAAGAATGCAATTATCGTATGTCAACAAAGTAAATATTATGAATAGTAATACGACTGTTGGAAATTAGTTTGGAAAAACAGAACTACCATTGGACACTACTGATTCATATACCTATAAGTGGTCTGAAGAAATATTATCATCCAACATCCTTAAATTGATGTTTCTAACAGATTAACAAAAATAGTTGTGAATTTCCATCTTACGTGCCATCTCATATCTCAACTCAACCGCAATTGAAAGTTTCGATACAGGATATAGTACCAAGTTGTATAAGTACCTCTCATTTCTTATCCAAATTATATTCATTTTAATTGATACATACAAATTACAAGTAAACATATACAACTGTTGTATACGTAAATAATTACGGATCAAGCCATTAAAGAATACATAACGTACACAAACAATATTCTAATAATATAATAATTAAATCAATACTATACGCTTGCTGCTTGCATATACTCATATTATATTCAAGAATAATGAAACACAACATTTAATAAGTGAGTCGCTGGTCATTGACAAACACCTATATAGTGTTCTCTTTCTATAGGTACTAAAAATCATTCTTTAATACTGTTAACAATTATTTACATATTTGAAGTCTCGGCTTATTTGCTTCATTGGCCTACTTGGCTACTTAGGTGTTACGAGATACGTATTGACTATTGGTACTTACACGTAAGTTAACATACGGTTTATACAACAACGATACGCTAATATGAAGACTTAATTATTTTCTTCTATCGAGATATTAACTAAATTATAGTATATCTGTCGTAGCCACTTAATGAAATCGATCTTTTAATGAAAAGAGGACCATTTCATGAAATGGAAATGGATATTTTATAATTCGTGAAATTCGAAAATATTTCACAAAATGATCACTTTTTCATGAAGTGGTCACTCCAATTTAACAACGTGTAATTTTTCACAATCTGGTCGTTCACTTTGTGTACTGAACTACTGAAATACAACATTTATCGTAAACGTCAATAGTTTGATTATATTCATCGTCCCGATGTCAAATATAATAAACATTATCTGTATATTCTATATGACTATAATAATTAATAATTATACCTGCCTAATTGCCAGACTATCTGAAATGTGTAGATGATATTTATTGGTTTTGATAAAAGTCATTATCATGTCATATTAGCATTTAGGTAATACCTTGATGTTAAAGCAGTGTATAGTTGCTGAGTTTAATGAAAAAAACTGAGTTTTACCAAAAAATGGATAAATATTATTTGGATAAGCCTGGTGAAAAACCATCTAGGTACCTACAGCTGAAAAAATTGAGTCAAAATTAATGACGCTAAATTAACTTAAGTATACCTACATACCAAGTTACTTTATTTATCTTCTGTTCTATTGTATTATATATTCCGTATTACCAGCTTTGGGTAAATGACGTTACTTGTTACAAATTTACAATAGATATTTTTTTTAAATTACATTTTTATAATATGGACAATATAATAGAAATATGATATAAATAGTTATAAATACACTCTGTATAGGTGATAATATAACTTAAATTTATCTTTATAATATAATCTATCTATATCTGTTTGGTATTGTAGAAGTCATAAATAAGTATACTTAATAAATACATTTTCACGAAGTGTAAAATATCCGTTTCCACTCCATGGAATTTTATGAAATGGTCATCTTTTCATGATAATTTCGATTTCACGAACTGTCTACGACATATCTACCATTGTAAAGATATTATAATAAAGAAGACACTGTCGACTAGTGTAGGTACTTAAAATTAGAGAGATTTATCAGATATCACAATGACAAGGGTCGAGACCTTGGGTGACGATATTTTACGCGATAGATAGTGCGGTCCAAGGAACAAAGAAGAAAGAAAATGCTTTGCTTCTGAAGAAATTATATTATATTATAATATATATATATATAATTTCAGTTGATTCGGTTGCACTCTCATTACTTTTTTACTCGTAGCTCACAATCGGGCAATCGTGTAAATGTGTAATACAATGTCTAACACGAGAGATCGTAATAATAATAATATAATATACGAAATACCCAGAAGGTGGCTCCAGAGACATGGTTGGGGGCTAAGTCAGAAAACTTTCGATGTTAGGTATATGTTTTATTTTTGTGATTTTGCTTGTAACAGTGAACAATTTTTTAGAAGTACGGATTGGGAGGGGGACACAGCCCCTAGCCCCCCTCCTGGAGCCGACTCTGGATATAGCTATAATAACCTGTACACGTTATTTTACATAGGTACCTAATCTAAATTCAGTTAAAGTTAGTAGGTACTTAACACAAATGTTTAAGGTGTCCATTAAATAAATGATTGTGCAATTGATTTTGAATCTCCGAGTAAAACTCCTAGTATAGTTGTTATATATAATGTAATATTATTATATTCAAAGCACATATTGTTTAGTTTAACCATATTATTGTTTGTTGTTGATAAGTCATTACTCTTCAAAGCAGGGGCGTAAAAAAGGGGGGACCCCCCCCCCCCAAATTGGTTTTTTATTACCTTAGTCAAAAGTTTTGATAGGGTGGGGGATTTTTTAATTTCCCCCTCCCATTTAGATATGTCGTTTTTTTGTATCCCCCCTTTCAGAAATCATGTCTACTCCACTGCTTCAAGGCTCATTTATATTTTAAGTACATTTCAACATTTTATTTATTTGAATTGTTGTCAAGGAAATTAATTTGAAATCAGTTAGCTACATGCTATAATATGGCATACCTAGTGCTATAACGCCTGTACGGCTGTACTGTTACTGTATAAGATGAATGATGAAAATATGAAATTAGAATTTCAATTAAGTTGATGATGCGAGTTCAATAAGAAAACGAAAATTTGGAAATGTTTCGAAAATTACAGATCTGAAAGTCCTGTTAGAAACAAGTAGATAGGTTAATCACTTGCCAGCTTTACATGTGCCAAACAATCACGATTCACAGCTGTTTATAAAGCTGGCTATAAATCATTGATCTGTAAAGTTCGATGGATAAATCAATAGAGCAACTATATCGTCCAACGAGGGCACAAGGCCTAAGCAACGCATTCGCATCGCATTAATCGCAACAAACATGAGACTTTTTGAGGAGTACCTATAGGCTTAGCGCGATGGAATTTATACATGGGGGCTATTGTAGCCTATTATTTTTCTGGCACATAACATAAATTCTAAAATTGTAACTGAAAACATTTACGGGATGGGGGGGCTAAACCATATTCCAGGGGCCCCCTTAGACCCCCCTCCCCAATTTTCGTAATGCATTTAAGCGTAAATCGTCTGTTTTTGATCGTCGAGGCATTTTACTATTATTTCATTATTTCGCAATCCACTGGCGTCGCACAAACTCGCAACGTCGCGGCACGTTATACGTCAATGTTGGGCCCGTTCGCTCTCCGGATTGGTCGGCCAGCGACACGTCGTGCGCGTTTGCCAACTTGTCGTCGGGTCGAACGTCGTCGGGCGTAACATAATGACCGTGTAATGTCGTACGCGTTAGAAAAAGTCATAGGCCGCCCGGCGACGACCTCCGACGGGTCGCGACAACGTGAGCGCGGCAACGCCGTACGAAACGGAGCCGCTCGGCAGCTCGCTGATAAGCGCAGTGCCGATCGTTTGTTTTTCATTGGCCCGTTGGTCGTTCGCTGCCGTATAAACACGTTATTTGCCGTAGTCGCAGTGCGCATTCCCGACGTCTGGCGTCCGAGCACTCCGAGCCTCCATAGGTCTGCAGAAGTTGGTGGGTCTCGGGCTCGTGAATTTTCCGCAGTTCTTCGTGCCCAACCGCACCAGCACACTGGCACGCTGTAATTTGTTAAGAAAAATTCCCGTCGCCGTGTAAACGTTGTTCGGCCATTCGTCGTCCTGGCCGGGGGGGCCGAGTGCGAACGGGGGTGGAAAATAATATTATCTGACGGTGAAACTCGAACGGCGATAACAGCGCCGTCCGCACTCGCTGTCGTTACGCGGTCGCGGACGACTGATATCGCGTATCGACGGCATAATATTGCCGAGCCGATCGAGGAGGCTCGCGATATCCGCTTCGGATGTTTCGGTACTGCCCGAAATTAATTGTTCGTCCCGGATATGGGTGCACAGTAGTTGTAGCGTAGTGTAGCAATCGTCCCGTTTCTCCCGACATGCCCGTCGAGACGACTAGCGAAACGACGGAACAGCAGGTTTCCACTGTGGAGGAGGACTCGCCGAAACAGTCGGAACCTGACTCGCCTGATAGTAAGTCGATACAACTTGTTTTTTATTGTTTATTCGCTCGTGATCTGACCCTTGTACTTGTCAGGCACATAGTTTATTGCTTGTTTTACAATTATGTTGTTGTTGAATGCATATTAGACCGAAAAGGCCTAAAATTTGATTTTAATGGCGAATCTCAGAATCTGTGTATGGTATGAACAATGATGGTTGTTTAAATATTACAATGACAATGTTTTTACTGTTAGTTTAAATACCACCAAACTAATATGGGTAATAATATTATGTTATTGAACGATATTTTCTTATCAGTGTTGATATTTTTAATTTATTAATTAAGAAGATCTCACCATTTTTGTTTAAGAACCTATACGGCCTACCTACCTACCTACCTATTTAATTTTTTTCATGTCAAATAAGCTAATATATTTTTGGATAACGTTTAAATGTGAACATCAATCCAAAATATATTTGTTTGGTATAGGTACTCACTACTCATAATTAAATGCAAGAAATATAAACCCCATTGCGTATTTTGTTTTTTTTTTTTTAAATATTTAGCAATTAATTTATTGTATTGGATCACTGCTAGTTAATTGTATAATATTTTCTTAGTAATGATGGTTGGGTAGGTAATTACTAATTACTAATAGGTTTGTTGGTTGTTATACATTTGAAATGTATTTACCAGTGTGTTTGGTGTAAGATATGTATTTTTTTTATTTTATTTAGGTACCTAATTGATTTAATATTTTTAGTACAGAAGCACAAAGAATATTTTATGATAACGTTTAAACTATCAAAAATCATAAATTGTTGAATGTTTACCCATATTATCTTATAATATTAGATTTTACAAGCAATTTAGCAGATGCCCCCGATAGGTCACAATGTCACATATTGAACTAAAGATAATATTTTTTGCAATTTGATCTAACATTGATTTCATTGAATATAATTTTTATGTATTTTTCAGTTGAACTTCCTGATGATTTTCCAACACCTTCAACATCAAAAAATGTGTTAACAAATGGTTTAAAGCGACCTTTGCCAGATGGAGTAGACGGTGAAAAAAAAAAAAAATTTAGACTGACTGAAATAAGTGATGGCGTACTGCAAGTTACTTACAAAGATGATAGTGAAGAAAATCCTATTGAACTGTTGTTACAAAAAGTTACGGAGTCTATAGAAAAAGATGATAAGTCTAATGTTTCCAATAAGCCACTTCGTGGTATTCTTAAGAATGGTAATAACTCATCCTTTAATAATATTAACCACAATGGTAACAATGGAATTGACGATAAAGGTTGTAAGAAGGATTATCCAGGTAAAAATACTTTAAGTAAAGATATCAGTAAGGAAAGAAAAAGAAAAAATGCAAGTGAAATATTACTTAATATATTAAATAAAGTTGAGAAGAATTTTAATGATAGTTGTGAATTTGTTGGAAACAGTAAGGATACTGTAAAAAATGGTAAAAATATATTAACTAAGAACGATATACTTAGTAGCAATGGTATTTCATGTTCAAATAAATCATCGTCATCAGACAATTTAGCTATCACTGAAAATTCAGATCACAAAAATGTCGCTGTTGTTAATGATATTCAGATAATAGAAAATATATCTACAGCAGTTAATGATTCAACTGTAAGAGAAAGTAATTCAAACCTTTCAAATACCAAGATATGTACAGTTGAAAACACCGTAAATAGTAAAAAAAATGATGCAGAACCGTTGCTAGAATTTAAAAATAAAATACATTTGACAAAAAATACCGATAAAACTACATCTATAGAAATAGAAAATCCATGTAATAGTAATACAAATAATAGTAAAAAGGTCGATGTTTGTTCTAATAGTATTGATCAAGAATTTCATGTCATAGATTCTGACGATAATTCTGACATTTTATCATCTGATTTAAGTGATTCATCTATAGATATCAATAATATTATACTTGGAGTAAAGAGGGTGTCGAAAGAGACTTTTCCAGAGTTATTAAAATTGTTTTATAGTGGGAAAGAAATGACTTATGAAGTAAGGAGATTTTTATTGGTTTTAATTTTAATTATATATTTTATTAATTAATATATTAAAATTGTGTTATTACTATTGTTTAGCAATTTGACAGTGTGTGTACACAGAAAATTGTTGAAATGATGACAGATTGTAAAGACTGGGGTAAAAACCGTTCAGAACTTGAAGTGTTGAAGAAAAAAGAAAAAAACTGGCGGTTAAAATATAATTTACTAGATAAACAATTGAATGAAATGAAGACTATTGTAAGTGTTCATCAAAAAGAGTCAAAAAGCAATGAATTTGCTAGACCACATATAGTTACAAGGACTGTTGGTTTACAAGCAGTATCATGTCCAAAAAAGGTAAATCAATCGTGTGATAAAAATATTGGGTACACAAAATATTGAAGTATGTTGAATTATTTGTAGGATGGTATTGTGAAGTTACCAAAACAAGCGATTTCCTTGTCAAAATCTGATCCAGTAAGTATTACTCTTGAAGATGACGATGATGTTGTTTTATTAGACTTTGAAACAGAACCTGCTAGTTCATCAACTTCAAAAATTACAAATGCGAGTACAAAAAAGGTAATATAGTACATATTACAATTGAAGAATATAAATACTATAGATCGCTCACTGGCCCGTATTTACGCGGCGCAAAAAATTGACGAAAATGGATGTCACATCATGATCTATAGTATTTATAATCAATATTAATTTAGTTATTTGACACAAATACTCATTTCTTGATAATTATCTTTACGCAATATATTTATTTTATTGAGGATTTTATACTGATAATTTTTTTTTAAAAACAAGATTGTTTTATTTTTATTATACATTTCTTTGAACTCTGTTTTAAGAAGAAGTAGGATTTATAATTGTAAATACTTCTTATGGCATCTTTATAACTTCAGAAATCTGGTCTGATGGTGATTTGACTTTTTCTCATTTTTCTGTGTATTTTCTCAAAAAAAAAAAAACATTGAATAAGAAGAAGACAGTTAGAAATTTGAGCTTCTGAGTTTACTTAAATATTTTTTTATTCTTACATAATAATATATTCCTATTTTTTTTTTTTATAGCAAGTGCCTCCCTTAGTTAGTACATCAAAAACACTAGTAGAATCTCCAAAAAATGTTACTGCATCTCCAAAAAATGTAACTGCATCTCCAAAGACTGTTACTGCTGCAAAGTCTTTGAGTCCTATCAACATTGGCACTACTCCTACTACTATAGATCTAACAGGAAATGATGATGTAATTGAAGAGTCAAATATAATCAATTTGGAGGATTCAATTTCACCTATCAAAATTCCTCATCGAATTGCAGCGCCGCTTATACCATTGGTGGTACCTAACTAATTTATTATTAAACTATATATGATTTTAAACAATCTAATTTTAAATTAAAAAATATGATTGACAACTGAAGTTATACATTTTCTAGAATAAGTCTCTAACACCCATAGAACAAGACTGTCACAATTTAAGGGAGCTGGAGCGTAATCCATTCTAAGGAGAAAAACTAGTTATTTTTCATTTCAGTTAATATGGGTCTTGTGAATGTGTTGAAAGTAAATGAACATTAGTGTGTGTAATTTGTAGTACTGATCATGTTGTATAGGGGATTCATAGTTACCAGATATGTATGTCTGTAATTTTAACAACAAGCATGCACATGTCACCACAATTACTTTATAAAATTACAAACATATTTTTCAAAAAATACTGCCAGTGACTTCAATCACTATGCTCAGTAGGATGTTGCGATTTAAATTTTGAAAGCAGATTTAAATTTTGAAAGCAGATTTGAATTCTCCTCTAAATTTACTATGCTTTAACTATCGTACATTTTTCATATTTTATATCAATGTATTTGAATTTTTACTATAAATATGATCTATTTTTACTCTTTTTGTCAGTAAATTTTTAGATAAATAAAAATAAAAATCAGAAAAATGAAATTGTGAAAGCACAGATGATTTAGTGACAAATTCAAATCTGATTTCAAAATTAATATCAGAACATTATATTGGATGTAGTGATTGAAGTTGTGAGCTATGTTTTCGACCGAATATGAATCACGCTTCAGCCTCCTTAAAATTTATAGTTTTGAGAAAAGGCAATTTGAAGTTTGAATCTAAGAAATATTAAAGAGTCATTTACCTATGCTCTTGAAAAAAAACTTAAATACTTTCAAACATACTTTACAATATGACTTTTTTTTAAATATTATGAAATACTCTCTTAAACCCAAAAAGTGAGACTTGTGGCCTTTTACAATTTTTTAAGCAAACTCAAAACCTGCCTTATTTTGAGATGTGGCTTTATTGCATACAGAAATTAATTTTATGACTGATTGAATTTCCTATTGTGACTGCAATATCACAAATTATAAAATGCAATACCCCCACAACTCTAAATATTGCAATCAATATATCACACAATAATTAGTTGTTGTTTAGTGCAAGAACACCACAAATCGAAATATGGCAGTCTTGAATTTTGACTTCGGTGATTAATTGAATAAATTGAAATACATATACTGCTATAAAATATATATGGCTCTCTTGCTTTGAAAATAAGCTAAAAATTATAATATAATTCAATACTGACCCATCTTTTTAGCGTCTAAATTAAAAATGATATTGAATGTGGCGGTCTTGCATTATTTTTTTACTATTTGAAAATATAACTCAAAATTGATGAATATTGAGTTATGGCAGACTTGTTCTAGAGGTGTGAATTTCATGTAGACTAATTTTTAGTTATTTATTCAAGGCATGTTTAGAATCAAGACTAAACTTATCTATAGTGACTTAAAAATTAAAAATGTCCTTAAACAGGGTGTATCCCCAAGATATACCTATTAGCTGTAAAGGAGGATTTGCCGCACGGATAAAAACCGGTTTTTAAGTCAATATGCTGAAATATGCAATAACCTTTAAATATGCAGTAATATGCAAAAAAAATATCTGCCATTAGCCAATTTGTAAAGATTACTGACATAAATCCTAAAAATATGCAATTGCATTAAAATCTGTGCTCTACTTATGAGTTGTAATGTTTTTTATAATTTATATATTTATTCATAACATGTTTGGTGATTTTTTGGTAGGTATAAACATTTAATTAATTATTGTTTCAGAACGGCCATTCGGGAAATACTATTACTTATTTAGAGGTATCTAAGAATCCATCATCATCTTCCTCAAGTTTTACAACGGGAACAGCTCCAGTAAGTTAATAAAAAAAATGTATAATTTTTTCTTTTCATTGATTATTATAATTATTATTCATTGTAGCACTCTCCTCAACGAGCAATTGTTTTAAATAAAGATACTATAAATACAAGTCCAAAATCTAAAAATCTTAAACCAATTTTAATAGAAGGTAAGTTTTTAAATTTTAACTTAATTTTAAATATTTATTATATATTATAGTTATTTCGGTGTTTCAATTTATTAGATTATTGGAATTATTTTTACAAAGTGTCGCATATGTCATAGGATACAAACTGAGCCATACTTAGAATGGTTATGATCAGAGATTATAACATTTATTGATAATAAAGTTTTCATTTGTTGGGTATAATCAGTTAAAAATCCTAAAAATAATTTCTTTATGAATATTTTTATTTTCCATATTCCAAATCAATTGTTGAGAATAATAATTTAGATGCAATAAAAGTGAATCATAATAATATTTATCTGATTAAATTACCAGAAATATTTATTAAAATTTGTATTTTATTTTAATTATGATTTTTTAAACAAGTTTTACCTAAATATAAATATTTTACTACCGACATTAAAATAACATAAAATAAAATAATTAATAATGTTGTTGAATCAACAACCGATTATGTTTGGATTATATGTCAAACCGATTATATTATTATCTTAGTCAGTCATAATAGTTACTTCACTGTCATTCAACTATATCTGTTCTAGTATATTTTGTTGTGTTAGGTATATCTTAAGCTTTGAAAAAAGTACCAATTATTAGAACTACATTTTGATTTTTGTACATAATATTAATTTATAAGATACAAAGTGCATTTAATATCCACCTTAATTTTATAACACTCATTTATATCTTTTACAAAAATGTTTGTACTCAGTAATATAGTTTTTGAAGCCTTTTCTCTATTATATCTTAGTTTAAAATATTGTGTGGTAAAATACCATTAATTATTATAGTTGTAATTTTTTTATTCATATGTATTAAAAACAAATATACATTATAACTGTAGTATAAATAATGATATAAATTATTAATGGTTATAAAATATATATTAATATGTATGTATCAGCACTTAGTAATAATGGTAATGCAAATGTATAAATATTTTTATAAACACACGTCTAAACCCTTGATCCATTTCACTTCTGGTATTATTGCATTAATTCCTTCAATTCCCTGACTAAGTTTTCCTGCCTCCCATTCCATTAAGTAAGCTTATGTTTTTGTAATTATGTACTTGGTATGTTGAGCATCCATCAGTGCCTATATAGTGTTATTTGTTATGCTATTGTGATTGTTTCTGTTTGTTAGGATTTCAGCGTGTACAATAGCATATGCAGGGCACGAGCAGGTTACCACTTTCCTTCTCCCGGCATTCCATTTTAATGTAATTTATGGTTTTTCATTTGTTGCTACAATCATACGCTCAACTAGCTTTCAGTCCTCATTTATACACTATGTATCCATAACGACCATGGCCGGTCTTTAGTTGATTTTGTACAGACTACTTGTGACTGGGCAGTTCCATTCCTATGTGGATCCATCACCAAATTTTTGTTTACTATAGAAAAGTTTATCCATTCATCATGTCATTATGTAACATTATTCTCATCATTTCTTAAAAAGATGCCTATGAATGAGTCATTGAAATCAATCTGAATATGAGCACGTACATCGTTAAATGTTGTCCATAATACTGACCCCTTCCTGTCCTCTGCATTTTTGTGATTAGATTTTCTTTCCTTCGTATTTCGTGTGTTTGGTAATATGTTTGTTAACATATGTAGTCATTACAATGGAGTAAATTTTACTGTTAAATTTGACCCTGTTGAAGCATCATCCCCTTTTCTAGCCAGCTTCTATATCAGATTAATTTGTGATCTTAATGACTTAATTCCTCTCTTACATAAGGTATTTGCTCTTAAATGTAAGAGTGGTGTCAAATGTTTTTCTAGATACTTAGGTGTGAAGTCGTGTTTAATTTGTACTCCTTTGAATACGTAATACTTTTAACTCCGCATTTTAAACTCTATTGCTCAGATGAAATTTACATACCTCCAATGAGGATTTGCAGGATTTGGGGGCTAGAATTGATTCTCAAGGTGAGTCCATTATTGAGTGTGTACCAGTTGCTTCCTTTTTTGCCCAGAAATACTTTAAAATACAGTGGTTACTGGTTTGTGATCATTTTATCTATAATTGTTACTAATTTTTTGTATGGAATGACTAGTAATTAATTCATAAGACTGTGACTTGGGACTGTTTTATATGCTGCACTTATTTTAAGTACCCTTTACAATTCTAATACTATTAAGGCTGTAAGTACAAGTACTTGTTCTTCGTATCCTCTGTGGTGATCCTCAAATCCATTTATAGTACCCAGAAAATCATTATAGAACATAGTTAACTTGATACGAATACTCGTTCTTGCAAATATAATAAACTAAAAATTATATGGTTTTCTTTATTACATTATATAATAGACATACACCTCATTCTATATGTGCTTAGTGCTGGTTTCATAACAACATTTTTTTTTTGTATTTAAATTCTCTTGATAAAATATCAATAGTTATTAAAAATTAAAATATTGTTATTAAACAACTTAATTTTGAATATTACAGTGGATTTATTTACTAAATCAGTCGGATTTATCAATTTTATTAGTTATTACTCTAAATAAATAGGGCTAGATACTAGATGTCTTAGATTATAAGACTTATATTTTAATACATTGTGTGCTGTATCAGAATATTAAATAATTGATAATGTTATTTTAGTGTCACGTGTTGATCCTGTACTAGTTCAGCCTTGTACCGTTACATATACTGCACATTGTGTTCCAGTATCTGGAACATTACAATCAATGTCAACAGCCTCTTATACACCACGCACAATAACAATGTCTCAACTTTCAGCATCATTAAAAACATTAACTCCAAGTTATACATGCCAAATACCATCATCTCGTATATATGGATCAATTCCTGGAATTGCCTTGCCACAGGCATCTCCTGGAACATCTCATACTACATGCCGAGTACCGATATCATTAGGTGCAATACATCATACAGGATCTCAATCGACAAGAAAACCGCCACCTCCTGCGATACCACTTTTAGGAGTATGGCAATTTTGTTATTATTTTTATTTATACTATAAAAAGAAAGAAAAATAATCTAAATTTAAATTATACATGTATAATAACATATTATTTTGAACTTACAGCATCCTTCTCCAGTACCCGGACTTCCAATTCAAAAGAGTCTTCCTTCGTGGAAAAGATTACCTCCCGCACCTAATTTGACCATTTCCAAATCAGAAGTTCAAAATACTCCCCAAGGTAGTAATATTAAATAACAATATTACCAAACTTATAGATTTCTTACATTTTCTACTTTTATTTCATAGCATTAGTGCTCTCGTGGACTATGAATATTAATAAAACAATTGCAGAAATAATAAGTTATCAGATATATGCTTATCAAGAGACCCCTGATCAACCACCTAACATTGAACTATGGAAAAAAATTGGTGAAGTGAAAGCTCTTGAACCACCAATGGCTTGCTCACTTACTCATGTAAATATATTTAAATGATTTTTTTGTTTTTTGAGGGTCTTATAATTTATATTTAAATTTATTTTTATAGTTTTCAAATGGTCAAAAATATCATTTTTTAGTAAGAGCTGTTGATGTTCACACTCGTGTTGGGCCATTTAGTAAACCGCAAAGTATGTATTTGAAATTAATTTAATGTTAGACATTAGCAAGTTAAATATTAATATTCTGGTATATTTTTTCTTAGGTATATTATAAATGATTTTAAATGTTTGACATTAAGAAGTTTATCTCCTACCTTAATGTTGTTTACATCATGAAGTTATTAGGTATATGGCTTATTTCCGTGCTAAATAACTTAATAATTATTTAAGCTTTACAAATGATTATTATTTTTTTATTTTTGTGATCCATTCATAGTGTGTTAATTTTTCTTTAAACCTATTATTTTTTGTATATATAATAAATTTTAAAAAATATAATATGACTTCCTCTATTATAATTGATTTATTAAAATTTTTATTTGAAGATACACAGTAAATACAAATTGTAGTGATATGTTTTGATATGTAACTATTATTATTTTAATTTAAGCCAATTTAAATATTTTTTAAATATTAACTATGTAAAAACATAATAAATATCCATGCACATTTTAGTAATATTTTATATATAATAATTGTATCAACAGTTTTATGGAAGTTTAATTTGAATTAAGAAATAATAATTTAATAAACAAGTTATTGGGTGTTTCTGGAATAGTATTTTGGTATAATATGTTGTTATTAATTAATGATAATTTATGGCTATTAAAGAAACACCCATTTTTTTTTATCTCAAACAATTTAATCATTCTGTGTGTGAAATTCTATAGAACAGTTGATAAATATATTATTTATTATCGACCATTTTGTTCATAATGTTTGGCCATTTACTGGCTCATAAACATGTATACATTTTTTTCTAATGAAAGTTTTTTATTTCATAAAATGTAGCGATTTGTTTATAAGATTGGTTAAAACACCGACATATTTTTATTCTTATCAATTAGTTTATGTTTTTTAATTATACACTGTTTTTTTTTTCACAACAAAATCAATTTTCATATTATTTTATGCCACTGATGTAAATTGAAATGTATTTAGTATTAATATTAAATTATTATTAAGTTTTTTTGTTATTTTTTTTTGTACATACCTAAAATCTTACAGTAAACTCATGTCTCTAATATGGGAATATTAATAAGGTCGGATACCAAACACAAAAACCATTACTTAAGAAACATGTATCTGATTTTAGATTCAGATCGTAGTAATGAATGTATTGATTTTACGATGATGTGTGTTTTTTATTACTGTGTCTGACACACTTTTTAGTAGAAAAATTGGGTGTTTATGATATCCAATTTCAAGCTTGTAATTTTGTGAGGATGAAATCAAAAATGGTTGGTACTTTTAAAAATAGTTGAGAAAAACATTTGTTAAAAATGTAATATCATTATTAAAGTAACTATATGATAACCTTGATTACTTAAAAGTTAGACTTTTCGCTCAGAATCATTTTAGTTGTATATATCAGCATTCCCAAAGTGCGCTCCGCACCGCGGAATACCAGGGCGCCGCTCTGCCGAAGAATTGTATATTATGTTCTAAAAATAAATTTGAAAACAAAACCATGTCTGTGGCGGAAATAATTACCATTATGTGAATAAAAATGTATAGATTATATTATATAGTTTCATTAAATAAATATTTTCATATTATCCATCACAATCTTACTGGCTTTTATTTAATTTTTCTATTTTTTTATGATTATTCGTGTAATGACGTGGGGAAGGGCGCCCTGAGTACACCTTGGTTCAAATAAATAGGGCACTACGAATCAAAAAAGTTTTGGAACCCTTGGTATTTAGAATTTTTTATCATTGATTTAAAATTTAACGCATCCATTACATCAATTATTGCTCCCTTATAGTTAATATTGACAATATTGGACCATATTAACTAAATTCAGTTGAGGGAGAGGTGATAAAATATGGAATCAAGTAGAAAATACATAATTTTAAAAATAATTTAATCATAGATAAATTACATTTAAATGTAAAACTTGCATTGCTCTTAATGAGATTCTGAAAAAAAATCTAAACTTATTGTACCTATTGAATTCCATTCACCACACTTTCATCATTATATTATAAATCAATGTATAACATGATTTCTGTAATGGTAGCTATATTCCTATAGTTACACAGATATAATAATGTATTTAATTTCGTACAAATTGGTGTTTAAATAACTAAGATGACGTGTAGATTTTAACTTACTAGAAGCTTGGTGTTGATACCACATAAACGAATAGTCAAAATAAGTTCTTTCAACGGTAGTAATTGTTAATTATTGTAGAGTTCATTCAACATCTAAAATTATTGTTTTGTCATTACACTAGTTATAGATAATTCTAATTCCATTTATTGCCAAAATAACATGTAATATAAAAATAAATAAATATTATATTATTGGATTCAAAATAACTAATATGTGATCAATAGTAGTCGATTGAGTGTTGAATTATAACAAGCAATCTTAAAAAATATTGTAATTCTTTAGAAAAAGTATTGGGTTTTTTCTCACTCAATGGGTTATGAACCCGTGTGTCGTGACCATCATCTACATTAATAACCGAACAAATCCTACATACATTCGTACACGTTAAACCATTAGACTATGTATCGAGGCTTCGGTACCTACGTATGAAAAATAGGCGAATGGTAAACTCCTACAAATGTAGGTAATCTCTTAAACATAGACATAGTATTAACTCCTCAAAACGATAGTGTTGACTCCTACAAATGAAAATAAAATTTTATAAAAAAGTAAAATTGATTTTTAAAGAGGTGGACAAGTGGGTACCGCTTGTACCACTATTCTGTCCTCATAGTATACTTATATAAATTATCAAATTTAATGATTTCCTCCAGTTTAAATTGTTTAATTATCATGCGTTATTAAATATTAAAAACCAAATGACTTAGGTATATAGGTAAAAAAAATCAAAATAATGTTAAAAAAGAAATTAGTAGAAAAAGACATGTCTTTGTATTTTTGAAATTAAAAAGGTGCTCTGCTGTACAGTTGGTTACAAGTGGGTCACTGTATAATGGAAGGTATAAATTTGAATTCAATGGACAATGATATAATATCATTGTATAAGAAAAACGATTCTGAGCGGAGACGGTATGTCAGTCTAGGTATAGGTAAGACATATTATATACTTATCTATGGTAATAAAAAAAAATTTAACAATAATAGGTACCTATACTAAATAGTAAATTCCAAAATAATCATATCACAATATCCATTAGTTACTTATAACGCGTTATACGTCAACAACAAACCCTGATACTATCATAGATATATAGTAGTATACCTACTTTAGAAGTATCAAGTACTGAAGTACCCACGAATAATATTAAACAATCACAACAAAATAACTAAAATAGTTATTCTAGGTTTTTTTATGGTAATTTCATCCAAATTTGAACTTAAAACGACTATAACAATAAACTGTGCTTATGTATTTTTTAGATTTTTTGTTTACAGAATTAACTACTTACGTGAAACCTGGTTTTAAATTTTCAACCCTTAGATATAAAAATTGAACATTTTATAAATTTTTAACTACAAAATAATTATTCAATTTTAAATATGATAAATATTGTCAAAATTCGATCTTTAAAGGCTTATAATATAAAATTGTATTTTTAATATTTTTCAGTTGCTATTGTAACAATATATCAGGATCATTGTATTACATTTTTGCACTTTTTGGCCCAACAGATAAAACTTTATTGATATTTATAGAAAAATAAACTAAAAAAATAGAAATCTGTAAATGACCGTAAACAGCTCAAAAAGCTTCAAAATACTATCAAATTATATTATCAAAATATTATGCTAATATAAACATTCAGTGAAATTTTCATGTATCTGCAGTTATTCGTTTTTGAATTACAACAAAATAAGGAAATCGACTGAATATCAAATGTTGTATAAATTTTAATTTCAAACGCTCATAAAAATGTAATTTGACTTTCTTATAGACATTTTTTTTTGATAAAGGTAGATAACCTTATAAAGAATCTTGTATAACATTTTAAAATCTTAGATTTAAAAGGAAAAAGATACTGAAGTTGATAATCGAGCATTATTTCGACTACAGACACAAATAAAATAAAAAAATAAAAAACACATCATTGTAATATCAATACATTCATCGTTCCACTCAGAATCTAAAATAAAATATCCGTCTTGCAATACATTAATACATATTAGGTATTTAAGTACACAAAAATCAATCCAGCTACCTAGATAGGTAAGTAAAAACTTAAATAATAATAAAATTAAAATAAATCATTAATCAAGTATTTGTATTATATATTTTAGATTCTGAAATCTGAGTGAAACGATGAATGTATTGATTTCACAATGAAGTGTGTTTTTTTTTTAATTTTTAATTTTTAATTTTTGTGTGTGTACACACTACAAGATAAGTAGTCGAAAATATAATGCTTCAATTTTCAACTTCAGTATCTTTCTCGATTGGAAAGTGAATATCGTTGGTGCATTGAGGAGGTCAAAATTTAACATTCCCAGTAATTTTCAAAAGCACCAAGAAAAATAAAAGAAAAATTAAGGAAAACGGGAATTTTTACGCAAAATCGATTTTTCACAAAATTGAATTTGGTTTTTGGTGTAACATTAAAACAAATGACCGTAAATACATGCAATTTTCACTGGTTCTTTATATTTGCATTTTCTATACACGATAACATTTTCAAAATATTTTGATTTATTTTGAACTGTTTAGGGACATTTTCATTTTCCGTTTTTATTTGTTTTTTCTAAACATATCAATAATATTTTATTTGTTGGTTAAAAAAGCTTTAAAATTTAATAGAAGGCTCCTAGTACATTGTTTAAATGGCAGATGAAAAATATTAAAAATCCTTAGTCACAGTTTTTTTTTATAAGCATTTAAAGTTCAAAAATTGACAAAATATGGAAAAATCACGAAAATTAGCAAAATTATTTTGAGTTAAAAATTTGTAAAAATTTTTCCTTTTAAATCTAAGATTTTAAAATGTAATACAAGATTCTTTATAAGGTTATCTACCTTTATCAAAAAAAATGTCGATAAGAAAATCAAATTAAATTTTTATGAGCGTTTGAAACTCAAATTTTTACAACATTGGATATTCA